CACATCTTCAAATATACTTCCTTTATGACTTGTTTTATTTCTCGTTTGCTTGATTTCTAGTATTTCCGTTTAATATGCATATCGTTAAATACGGATCATATAAAGGTTGGCATGATTGCAGATTTCAAAGACCAGCCGTTTATCCATCTGTGTGAAAAGGCAACATAGTGATCACCAGATCATGGTGTACTTTATTATTATTATTATATAGTATAAATTATGGAATGCTTTAATGATAACAATGATGATAATAACGATGTTAATGATGGTGACGGTGGTGAAGATAATAATGATATTGACCGTTGTATCTATAATTACTATATTTTTTTCATCATCATTATTATCATTGTCATTATCATTATTATAATTATCATTTTGATTGATATTATTTTCATTATTTATTATCATTATTGTCATTACAACTATCCTTATTATTATCATCATCATCATTATTATTACCATTACTATTATCATTATTGTTATCATTATTATCATTCTATCATCATTATCATTAACATTATCATAATTATCACTATCATTATCATTGTTATTGATAATTTTATAATTATTGTTATTATTAGCATTATGATTGTCATTATCATTATTGTCATTATTATTATGAAATTGTTGTTACCATTACTTTTAATGCTAAAAGTAACAATAACAATAACAATTTACCAGGTTTATACGCAGAGCTATGTAAATGTAGAATCAACACCTGTAATCTGATATCTATAAACGAAGAGGATCAAATGCATTCGCCCGTAATTACATTTGACATTTAAGCGTCTCACAGTAAGTCAGCCCTACAGTATTCGATTTGAAATTCAAATGTGTTATTGAGCAGATTAGCAGAATACAGGATTAAAATGCATATTCCAAAATAATTCAAGTTTGCAATCCATTCGTATCTTATGCAACACCGCGAATATTTACGTCAGAATTATCGGACATTGGTAATGATTAGCATATGATGTTATCAGTGGCACAGGTTATATATATATATATATATATATATATATATATATATATATATATATATATATATATATATATATATATATATATATTATATTCTTTTTTTGTAAAAGATAAAAAAAAAATACTAACAGTAATACCAATAAACAAAATCCTCAAACCAATATTTCTTCCACTTCCGTTACGCTGCGATAACAATGTAGGCACAAAGGTACTTATTTCAATACTGTATTGATATTGTTGCAACTGGCTTTGCTTTGCAGAGTCGTCCTCTCTTTGTTCTGCTATTTGTCAATGTTTTCTTTCTCTTTGTCCTTGTCACTTTTGTTTTGTTCATTCATATTTGTAGTAGTTTTTTAAATATTAATAATAATTATTATCATAATGGTAATCGTAATGATAACGATGGTAATCATAAAAATAATGATAACAAAAATAACAATAATAATAATGATGATAATAACAATAACAATAATAATAATGATGATGATAATAACAATAACAATAATAATAATGATATTATCATTATGATGCATATATCATATCATTATATGATGCAATTGACGGCCGATCCCTTGGAGCAACGGGCCAAGGGATATCAGCCGCCAAGCCGGTGTCTCCCTAGCGACCTTCCAGAACCCAGGTCTGCCGCCCCCGACCTGCGCAGGCGACGGTGTTGCCCGCCAAAGGAGTTAAACGTTTTCGGCACCACTTTTTATGAGCGTATTTACGTATGTTTGTGTGCTTGCATGTATTTGCAAGAGTTTATATATACATTTGAAAACTTTTTTATTTTCATATATATCTATGCAAACACATGCGCGAAGGAAGGAAAGCAGTACTGCCACAGCGCTGTCCCAGGCGCCGGCCGAGTCCAAAATAAATAAAGGTACGGGATTACGCGCCATATTGAAAAACACCGCAGCCAATGGGTTAATAATGATAAGAATAATGATAATAATAATAATGATGATGATAATAATCATAATTATAATACCAGTAGCAATAATAATAAGTAATGATAATAATAATAATAATACGTAGTAGTAATAATAATAATAATAAAAATAATAATGATGATGATGATAATAACAATGATTATAATGATAGTGATAAGTATAATAATTGCAATAATGATGACGATGGTGATAATAATAGTAATGATGATGATAATGACAATGATGATAATAACGAGGATAATAATAATAACTATGATAATGATAATAATAATGATGATAATAATGAAAAAATAGCAATAATAATAATAACAGTAATGATAACAATGATAATAATAGTAATAACAGTAATAATGATAATAACAATAATAATAAAATCATCTTTGTCAATAACTAAGGTATACAACCTGCTGTGCCAGTAAAAAAAAAAAAAATAAAAAGAAAAGGTGGAGAGAATATGAGCTTTTGTTATCACTTCCTCTACGAAAACAAGCTGCCCTATTAGATGTTACCAAGGCTGAGAACAAGTAAAAGAGAAAAAGAAAAAAAGAAAATCTTTTACTGCT